GGTTGAGACCTGATTTGTGACCTAGGATGTGATCTGTTCTGGAGAATGTTCCATGGGCACTAGAGAAGAATGTGTATTCTGTTGCTTTGGGATGGAATGTTCTGAATATATCTGTGAATTCCATCTGGTCAGGTGTGTCATTTAAAGTGTTTATTTCCTTGTTGATCTTTTGCTTAGATGATCTGTCCATTTCAGTGAGGGGGGGTGTTAAAGTCCCCTACTATTATGGTATTGTTGTTGATGTGTTTCTTTGCTTTTGTTATTAATTGACTGATATAATTGGCTGCTCCCATGTTAGGGGCATAGATATTTACAATTGTTAGATCTTCCTGTTGGATAGACCCTTTAAGTAGGATATAGTGTCCTTCTTCATCTCTTATTACAGTTTGTTTTAAAATCTAATTTGTCTGATATAAGGATTGCCACCCCAGCTTTCTTTTGGTGTCCATTAGCATGGTAAATCATTTTCCATCCCTTCACTTTCAATCTGGGGGTGTCTTTGGGTCTAAAATGAGTTTCTTGTAGACAGCATATTGATGGGTCTTGTTTTTTTATCCAGTCTGATACCCTGTGTCTTTTGATTGGGGCATTTACCCCATTTACATTCAGGGTAACTATTGAAAGGTATGAATTTAGTGCCATGTATTGCCTGTAAGGTGACTGTTACTGTATATTGTCTGTGTTCCTTTCTGATCTGTGTTGCTTTTAGGCTGTCTCTTTGCTTAGAGGACCCCTTTCAATATTTCTTGTAGGGCTGGTTTCGTGTTTGCAAATTCCTTTAGTTTTTGTTGGTCCTGGAAGCTTTTGATCTCTCCTATTTTCAATGATAGCCTAGCTGGATATAGTATTCTTGGCTGCATATTTTTCTCATTTAGTGCTCTGAATATATCATGCCAGTCCTTTCTGGCCTGCTGGGTCTCTGTGGATAGGTCTGTTGCCAATCTAATGTTTTTACCATTGTAGGTTACATATCTCTTCTCCCGAGCTGCTTTCAGGATTTTCTCTTTGTCATTGAGACGCGTAAGTTTTACTATTAGATGTCAGGATGTTGACCTATTTTTATTGATTTTGAGAGGGGTTCTCTATGCCTCCTGGATTTTGATGCCTGTTTCCTTCCCCACATTAGGGAAGTTCTCTGCTATATTTTGCTCCAATATACCTTCTGCCCCTCTCTCTTTCTTCTTCTTCTGGGATCCCAATTATTCTAATGTTGTTTCATCTTATGGTATCACTTATC